GCTTTCCCTTGTAAACGGCTAATTGACGAGCAGTCGAAATCGCGTTTCGGATCTCTCGGTCGTTCAAGTTTGTTTTCGCCAGTTCTGTAAGATGATGGCGGATTTCCTCAGCGTCTATTCCGAAGTCTTGCTGTTGACCGACGTTGGCTTTGCACAGGCCTCCTGAAGGAATTCTCTGGGTATTGAGCTTCTCAATCCGATCTATAAAATTTGTCCAGATCTGAAAACGTTGCTGTTCATTCAAGTTTTGATACCTGAGATTGAGCTGGATGCGAGATTTGAAGGCTTCATCGAACGTTCCAACCCGGTTGCTCGTCAAAATCAAGATACCTCAAGAGTACGTGAGCGATCTTATCATATCTATCTCATCAGCAGATGACATACCATCGTAGTATTCCAAGACGCGAAGGAATACTGCAAATTTGTGAGCTCAGAGAATATGACATCCAGTAGATAAGTGGGCACAGGTGTTAACGACATACCGGATACAAGAGCATTTCTCTCAATATTCTTGAGCGACCGTTCCTCTAGGAAAACATCCGCCTCGTCTAGAAGGACCACTGCAAGATTCAGCACCACCAATATAATATAACCAATTTTGGGATGTGTTACCGCATCCCCAAGTTTTTCCAAGCAGCAGGACGGACTCCAGATACTACATGGCTGCATTAATATCCAGCACTTCCTTTAAGAATTGGCACTCACCTTCTCCACTATCTCCGCTGAAGTTCCAATATCTCCACAGGTGACTCTGTACAGTGGCTTCTTGGCAATCTCGGCCACACTGCGAATGTTAGATATGGAGCATGAAACTCCAGCTGGTCATTGATCACAAACCTTTCAGCTGTCAAGGTCTTCCCAGTTCCCCGGCCCCTTGAATGCTGTTAGAAGGTGTCGGGCTGTGTTGAACGGCTTAGTCTGTTTACGTACCCATGCAGTAGTATGAACAACCCATTTCCTTTCCCCCGAATAAGATCTGTGTTCTCTTCAGCTTTGAGTTGAGTGGTGATCACTGCCTGTACTAGCTCTTTGGTGTTAGAGTCAATCACCAAATGCTTAAAGGCTTCATCATTCCACCGCACATCTTCTAGGAAGTCGGCTTCCAAATCAACTGCATGTAGCCGTCAACCTTATTCATTCCTTTCATGTTGTGGAACTTACCCCACTCCTTCTTGTGCATGTTCAACCCAACCGTTTTGGCAGGAAGACACATGAAGAAAGCATCACCGAGGTTAGGCTCATCCTGGGACATATCTTCATCCCCAAGAATAATCGCACTTGGCTTCTTTTTCCTTTGAGGGTGCATCTGGTTGAAGGTGCTGAAGTCTATCATGAATCGTGATTCGGCCTGGTCGTGGTCAAACTCTAGTCAGTAATTAATAGACCCTGTCATAACAAAATTGATGTCATACTGAAGGTTGCATGCCATCACCGGCGAAGCCAGTGTATGATACGTAATGTTGAAAGCGACATCTCCAAATCATTTCCCCGCGTTGTTTTAACCGCTCGACGATTTCTGGAGTCGCATACCTGATTGGATAAGCTGGGAAAAGATCCTGAATGGCAAAGGATCCGTCCGTTTTCGCTGTTGGAAGGGATGCAAAGGATGCCTTTTCTTCAGTTCTGAAGAAGGAGCCCCCAAAGTCCCATGAAGTGACATTGATGGTTGCAAAATCTCGTGGGTCGGATGGGTCTACGTGGATCCAGTCGGTGACAACGACTCCTCGGAGCTGATGGCGTTCGACCCCTTCAGCCTTGGACACCAAGATCCCTTCGGGAACCTGCGAATATTAGCATAGCCTAGAATCGGCCAAGAAAAGCGTACAAAAAGGTATTCGAGGTACTTGGCAGTAATTCTGCCTTCCATAAGCCATGAGTCGACCTTGCGCCAGTCTTGTCCCAGTCGATCTTGTATGTACTGCTCTACTAAGGCCACATGAGTTCGGAATTCGGTATCGAGACTTTGAATAGCAATTCCAATCTCAGTTCGGCGATGAAACCACCACAGATACGGAAAAGCTATGGCCTCGTCATCATGTAGTCGTCTGTTGAACTTGGGATGCTGGATATTGGCCAACGCTAACTCGGCCATTGCTCTCAGGCTTTCAACTAATTCCTTGGCGGAGGCTGCCCGCAACATTCGAAGTTGCGGTAAACAATGAATTTTATTTCCTTGTTTCTTTCCAGATGAAGTTCAAGATGAGAAACCTTGCGACTTCCTCTGAGATGAGCTTTGTATTGACCGCTTTCTACTACCCAGGGCTCGTCTAGGTAGAGAATCTCTGATCTGGCCTCACGACACCAAATCTTGTTGATGATCTCCCATCTCAGTGGACCATGGTGTTTCGAAACCGTGTATCTAAGCCTTTCAGCCTCTCTCAGTGTTTTCGAGGCAAATTGTATCGCTTTCAATAGCTCTTCGTCTGTCTTGTCTGGCAATAGATCGAGTAGCTGGCACAGCTCGCGTCGCCAGTCAATTGTGGTATGAGGGTAGTACTTTGGTTGTTGTTCGCAAGCCTCTGAATCTGCCGCCATCCATGTGTCAGTTTCAATCAAGGTCTTGTGTGCTCACTTACCTGATCCCGGATCATCAGGGGTCGCTTCGCGACTGGATGGGACCGAGGAGGTTAACGGGAGTTGACGCTTGTCTCTACGGCTAGATCGACTTTCGTGATTTTTCGGTGAATTCGAAGCAGACTGGCGACGTTGCGATGATTGCGAGACCCGTGGCCTCTTGTGAGGCCTGTCTGAACCCGTCATTTTGAGCCTCAGACCGCGGTTGAAGTTGAGAGGTTTTGCGGATATCCGCAACCCGTTTGTCGTGTTGTGCTACATGATGTGCCTAAGCCAAGCCTTGGGCGCCTATCGTGTCGGCCTCCCATAGGAGCACGTGCCGGAGCGGATGCACACAAATGTGCCGCATAGCTGCAGGCGAGAGAGAGCGCGCTGTTCATGCAGCTGGTGTAAAAACATTATTCCGGAATGTTTATGTCGATCTGCTGACCAGTAGGCCATTGTTGTAGAGAATCGTTTTCGGCTACTTGGAACACGACGACGCCTAATGAATCTCTACTTCGCATGATTACCGCACGACATTTTACCAGTATCAGAGGAGTTTCTGCAAATGTTTCTGCTCGTGGGCTCGTGATCCACGCGTGCAGCCGGTGTTATCGTTATGACGATCTCAGACCGTCCTCGACAGTCTTCACGTTCTACCAATCCGATCGGTCCAGCGTACTCGTCACCGCACTTCGCTATCTTGGCCCTTGGTGGATATTGATTGCGGACCGTACGGGGCGAGCGCCACCGTTATAAAGTGTTCCAGACAGAAACATATGGTACCTTCATAACGCAAATAGATGTGATCTCGAAGGCTAAGTGGCTACAGAATAACCTACCGACTTAGCATGTGCATCGATACGGGCACAACTGAATCGAATAACGCCATGATTTTGCGAAGGAGCACCAAACCTTTGCAGCAAGTTTCGAAGCCATTTAGCGATACCTTCCCTAACCCGACATCAGAAACCAAAAGAACGAATACCTAAGGGCTGTCACACTGAAGAAAAGGCACACTTGGTGGAGGAAATCTAGTGTAGAGGTCTTGACGGGACCAGGATCGAGCCTCAGACGCTACTCCTCAACCAAGCACTGAGAAGGCGTGCAGACGGCAGCAGAAGTGCTTTCAAATCCTTCCGTACGTAGCACCACGTCTGGATGATATCAACATGAAACACAGCATGAGCCAGAAAAAGACTACCGAGTTCAAATCACATGAAAACAACACGTTCTCGCAGCCGAGAAACCGCTCTTTAAATACCAATAGGGTATCAAAACGAGAGAGTTCGAGTTCGTTAGGCCGCTTGACGAATTCGTCCCATAGCCCGGTCGAGCTGCGTTCTAGGTTTCTGGGCCGTTGGATCGTCTCAGCCCTCCGAGAAAACCCCCAACAACGTATTTACACGTCCGGCTCATTCAGCCCCGCCTCACCGCTTAGCCGCCTAGGAGACGTCTCGGGCTTTGTTGAGGTCGATCGTACTATTTCGAGAGACAATACTGGTGGGGATCGTGCACAAGCGGCTCGCCTAGCTTTATGTCAACTGCGCAGGCAAGAGTTCCAACTAAGCGATGCAGTGCCAAAAACAACAGTTGCCGATGAGCGGACTCCTGTTATTCCAAATGAAGACGAAGAATACCATTTCCGGGGTTATACACGCGATGCCTTTTCATCACCTCAGAACACCAGTCCGGGTGTTACTTACACTGCTTACGAAAATAGCAATAATGCCCATGTACGTGAACGCCGCAACTGTTACCTCGACGTTTCACCGCCGGTTTGTACTAATTTGGTTAACAGGATGGCTTCAATGAAAGCTTTAACGGCAATTCTGGTCGCAGCCTCCCCAGGAGAATGTCCGGCAGACGGCCTGGGATTCTAAAAAGACCTGGTCGACATGCTGAACATAAGAACTATTACAGCAACATGGGAATGAGAGTTCCACGACCACCGCCACCGCCACCTCAAATGGGGCATCCACCACCACTACTACGACGACCACCGCCACCACCACCACCGCCACCACCGCCGCCAATGGCGCGTCGAGCGAAGAGTATCAGGGCAGGTTCCGACTCGATTCCTTTGCGAGCTTCTTCTCGCTACTCTCCAGTTCATCAGGCAATTTGAATGAATTTATAAATTTACCTGGCCAAGTACAGACTCCTCCACGACCACGACAGAGCCGAGAAGTGGGGACTTTTCGCCGCTTGAGGCAACCGGCGCTCGCTTCCCAGGGGCAGCAACACCACCAGATGGCGTGACATGCAGAACGATAATAGAATTAAGAGAACGAAGGAAGAAGCCTGCAAAAACAGCGATGACAAGCAAGCACACCAGTGTCCTGTATTGACACCATACCAGTAATGTGAGCGCGCCGGGTTCTTGAGAATACAAATTCCATCCTGCCATCAAAGCCACAATTATCCATGTAGCCAGTCAATATCTAAAAAGGCTCGCAGTCCTTGCAAGGGCCCTGGAAGTTGGCAACAGCCCCAAGGCAGGCGAGATCAGCCACCGGGTCTAGACATGTCAGTTTTCAGTCCCATAAAATATGGAGTTTTGGCTTACTGAGAAAAAGCTCGTCAACAGCAGCTGCGCAAGTCGGAATGACCGCGGCAAAAGCTCCAATGCAGGCTACGGCAGGATTCAGTAAGCACCATGATCACACACTGCAGGAGCCAGAACTCACACCAGACGTCACAGCCTCTGGCCTCATGGCCTCGAAGTTTGGTGATGGCGCTGTTGCAGGCACCAAGATCGTTGGAAGTCTCGCACTGGTACTGCCTCTGCCTCTTGGCAAGACTGGCGTCAACGTTTCCCTCAGAAGGTGCGGCGGCTACCAAGGGCATGGCGATGGCCAGGAGAGACACGGCGTTGAAGTTGATCCGCATGTTGATGGCGAAAGAAAAGGGGTTTGAGATGAAGTTTTCAATTCAATGAGACCGCAAATTTTTGATGCAAGAAAATAGGTTGATCATCATGGAAACCTCCGGAGTATTAATAGTTGTCGATGTCGGAGCAAAAGCTCGACCTCAGGAAGCGGGCTCTTCGGACGAGAAGGCACAGTCTGATTTGGATCACAAAACTCGGCATCTTGGCATAATTCCAGAATGAGGCTGATGAGCTCGTGTTCAACCGACTGATCGCCAATCACAGCCTGGCATTTGTGCCCGAGAAGGGAGAATGGATTGAACGAAGTCTGATCAGGCTGAGATGGTCTCTAAACTAGACGGGTTTGGACGCCATGGTTGATAAAACAAAAACTCTCTTAAATTCCCAGCGCTCTAAGCTTGCTTTGCAAACTTTCCGTGGTATCCGTTTCGGATTCAATTGATCATCGATGGGTATTACACCGCTCTTTGACAGACTCTTGGTTTGTCATTCGATCTGGTTGTTGATCTGCGCTCTTGGCGACGTCTCCGTAGTTCATGATTGTCTTTCCGAGGGACGTGTTCAACGTGGTGGGATGCCGTGAATGGAAACTAGCACAACTATAATTAATTAAGACTGCACGGGCCTTACCCGACGTACTCCAACCAATCAAGCGTTCTGTCTCTCTTCTGAGAAACCTCAAAACTTTCGAAAGTCTTCAAGTTGCCTTCTGTTAGATCCAATGCAGCCGATGCACGACTGGGTCCGTCGTTGAGACTTGATTGTTGCCGTCCATAACTTGGCGCCAAGTGCCGCCTCGGCCTTTCTCTCAAATCACTATTTTGACTCGGAGTCCTCGGAGGCGAGAGGTGAGTTTTCCGAGTCATGAGTTCCCAGGAGTAACGCATGTTTAGGTGACTGAATGGAAGGATGGCGTGAAGTAGGAATATCCGTGGAATCATTCGTGTTTGAAGTGTATACAAAAGGATTACCTCTCACCAACTTCGTGACCAAATTCCCTCAACCATCCCAAGCCCTCGACTCATTTTCTAACCCTTACCTCTCCCCATCTCAGATTCAGCTCCTAAAATGAAGTTCAACATCGTCGGTCTCGTTGCCGCGGCATGGTGAGAATGCATCCCGCAGCAGACAATGAAACATGTGTTGACCGATTCCAAGGATGCCGCTCGTAGCTTGCCAGTTTTCTTGCCACTGCCAGGTCGCCAACAACGGAAATGCCGTCATTGCTGCTATTCGACTTTGCGATGAGGTCGGTGGAACAATCTGCTACAACTCTGCCGGAAATTACAATGTTGTACGTGTCATCCTGCCAATGTGCCAACTTTTTCACCTTGGTTTTACGGCCAAAAAAGGTGTCAGTGCTAAGAGACCTCTTCGAACAGTGCAAGACTAGCGCTGCGTGGACCGATGAGCAGTGCAAGAACACGTTCCAGGGTATTGACCAGCCGAATGAGAGATTCAGGGCTGTTTGCACCGCGTACAACGGCGGAGGATGCCCTGCGTAGTTTGTTGTGCCGCGTAATAGCTGGTCTACGGACTTGGACACCACGCCTTGCCACTAGGTCGTTGCATGAAAGCAATAAATTTTGACTTAGCAATACATTTCTATGCTTAGAACGCTCATTGACATGCCCGGTCCGTTGCTGTTATTCTGGAATGTGTACATATGGCACTTGCAGATTGGAATATCGCCACAAAACAACGTTGAATCTTCCGGTAGATAACCACAGAACCTAGACGCTGTTTGTGGTATGTGGCAAAGATCTGCAGCTATTCCAATAACACCCATGCTTTGTCTTCAAAATCTTCCTAGTCATCTCCCCAAACCTTATCCCATGTTCTCAGGATTACATTCTTCTTCACAAGCTCTTCGTTTCGATGCTCCTCCTGCAGACCTTCTTCCCAGAGGCGGCATTCGTGATCAACCGCTTGCTTTCGTCCCTCGGCGTAAATATCTACAGATCCGGGATCAACAAAGCTTGTGCGCTTGTATATCTTCCAAAACACGAACATGCCAACAAACCAACCAAGACCAAAATAGCTTGTAATGAACCCTTTTGTAGACCACGGGGAGAATATGTCGAACCCAATGAACAAAGAGATGATCGAACCCAGGATCATGCACAAATAGGGAGTCCAGGAAGCACCGGGTGCAATGTAGGGGAAGATGATTGTCTCCGTCTGCGTGACCGATTCCGCGCTGTTGTCTCTGTCAAGTAATGAGGCCAGCCAACTCTTCTTGCTCGTGCTGATTTGGCGAATTCCTTGGGCTTTCAAAGCTCGGCGCCAACCAAGAAAGACCCAGGACATGCAGGTGAAATTGACGACCAGTGAGACGGTTGTCAACTCCAAGAACCAAGAGAAAACCTCACTTGCTTCATTCGACGCAACCAAAAATGACAGAAGAGAGATGAGAGTGACTGCTGTCACACAGACCCATGGTACCCCGCTCTTGGTGCATCTCAGAAAGATCTTGGGTGCTTGTCCATCCTGAGCAAGAGAGTAGAGGGTGCGACTAGATGAGTAGAGAAAGGCGTTTCCACAGGACCAACCCGAAAGTAAGATGAGAAAGTTGATTAGTCCTGGCAGAAACCCTGAGATGCCATGGCTGAGGAGTCCCAAAACCCATGGTGACGCGGCGGCTCCAGCATCGCCGGAATCGATCGCGCCCAGGAGGCGTTCATCGCGCGAATTGCATATTATGCCAACCGCGAGAATACCAAAAATGTAGAAAAACAAGATGCGATTGATGATCATCTTGGAGACTCGCGGGATGGTCTTTCGCGGGTTCTGAATTTCTCCAGCTGCGAGAGATATGGTATCTGGTCCACCGATTGTGAAAGCAGCGTAGCGCACTGATATACAGACGCTGAGGAAAACGCCAGTGGCTCCATCTGCATAGTAAGCGTGCGCGAAGTTTCCATTAGACCAGTTTCGAAAGCCATAGGCATCGTGCTTCGGATTCCCGCCCACCATGGTTATGAAGGTCGCCATCATAAGGCCGAGAAGCAGGAGGACCTTAGTCGAGCCCATGACAAACTCACTTTCGCCGAACCATCTGTCAGGCTAATTAGCAAATAGAGTTTCTCGTGTCAGAATTTCACCAGCCTTCACTTACTTGACAGCTGCCATGTTCAGGAAGTAGCATACTGCCAGAACCATGGCAATCCACACTGCTGGATTGACGTCGACGTTCCAATAACCCATGACTGTGGCGACCGCTGAATATTCCGTACAAACAAGCATAGCGCCGGCGAAGAAATAGGTCCATCCCATGGCGAAGCCGAGTGCGGGATCCACGAAGCGAGCGGCAAGCTCGTAGATTGAGCCTCTGATCGGCAGCCAAGCCACCATCTCAGCAACGTTCAGGGTGGTGGGCCATATGAACCCCACGCCGTAGATGATGTACCCGATAATGAGAGGCAGGGGTCCCGCCTTGGACAGGACGCCGCCCACGCCCACGAAGAGGCCGACGCCAATGCCTCCGGCAATTGTCATGAGCTGAACATGGCGTGGAGAGAGACCCCGTTGTGTTTGGGGAATCGTGGCCTCGGATGTTTGGCCCAGGCGGGTAGATGAGCTGTCATCTGCGATGGCGTCTTTCACTGCCGGTCCTGCCATTCTCGCAGATGGATTTGGCGAGGAGGGTCGCTGGCATATGGTAATCAAAGAGAGAAATTTGAAAGAGCGGCACAAAATCCAAGCGTTTGGGAGGGGCTTTACAAGCGATGCGACTCTTAAGTTTTAGCTAACACCTGTTGCGATGGTGGCAGTGGCCAACTTATGAGAGAATCCAGGCAAGTACCGTTCATTCCCACGGCAAGAATCTGTGATACCGTATATCGGATGAGCCTTCCTATCTCAAGTCGTGACCCATGACAGCACCAACCGACCTATGCATAACAACTAAGATAACATATCACCCGATATCATCACAGCACTTCTATCTGGTGTGACCTTTGCTAGAATGCGATAACACAGTAGCAAGACGGAGGGGTCCATTAATAGCATCTGGAGTGGGGACGCAAATTGGCCAGTTGGAAGTGGGAGCTGACGACCCCTGAAGATTAGATCGTATTCGATTTCCTAGTTGGGATAGCCGATAAACCACGGCTCAGATCGTATTCATCCGCCTCTTATGGAAAGCAACTAGACTTGGCACAAGCTCGGAGTTTGACTGCCGTTGATTTTGAGAATTCTCAGTACGCAATGGTTGCAAGAGCGAGTGACAGCTTGGACAAGTTGCCGAGGAGGGGAAATGACACACGCGCGTCGCAAGACATACAAGTCAGCGTGCAGGCGGACGCCGATGAAATAAATTAAAACATGCGTCGCCAATGTGTTCTGCAGAATTCATAATTACCTATTTGATTCCGAATACGATTTGATTTTATACTTTGCTGTATCGAGAGTCGCCGCTGGGCCAGGCAAAAGTATGGCTGATACGAGAACTCGGAAGGCGAAGGACCGGCTCTTGGCTGTCGCCAAAGGCCTCCAACCGCAAGACTCAATGCCGAAAGACTTCATTGAGAGACTGACCGCGTGCCTTGTGGCTGACCCTCTACTTCCGAGGCCTAATCCATCGATTTCACTCTGGCAAGAACCCCCTCACCCCACCTTGGCAACTGTTCAGTCCACCAATCTCCCTAGCTACGCCGACTTCGTTGTCATAGGCTCAGGGATCACTGGGTGCAGCGTCACAAAGGGCCTATTGGAAAACGAGGTCTTAGGCTCCGGTGATAATCCAAGCCAAGTTGTTGTCCTAGAAGCTCGGAATCTTTGCAGCGGTGCCACGGGCCGTAATGGGGGCCAGCTCGTCAGTCCCGTCGGACATACGTTCGCGGGTCTGGTCGAACGCTTTGGCACAGCGACTGCGATGGAGATGGCTCGATTTAGCCTGATGAATATTGAGCGTGTGATGGACATGGTAAGAGATATGGGACCGGAGATCCAGACAGAGAGCGAAATTCGAGATCTGGTCAAAGTTATGGTACCTGAGACCGAGTTCGCGTGGCTTGAATCACTGAGCTCGTTGGAGGAATTCCGCGAAGCGTTTCCAGAGCACAGATATCTTCACAAGGTTTTCGAGCAGAAGGAGTTGATCAAGGTTTGTCTTCTACACATCAGTCGATATTGACGATCACGGACACTGATGAATGTTCTCTCAGGAATGGAATGTCAAGGTTGGATTTGGCACGATCGTTCACAAAGCAGGTGCCATATGGCCATATCGATTGATCACTGGAATCTTTGAAAGTCTTCTGGGCCAGTATCCCAATCGCCTGTCCATCGAAACGAACACTCCAGTTACCGCCATTTCCCAGTCTTCCTCTCCTCAAGAAGAGACAGCCAACACGACATATAAGTACAAGATTACAACTCCTCGAGGAACTGTGCATGCAAAACAAGTCATTCACTGCACCAACGCCAACGCTTCGCATCTTCTGAAGCCTCTAAGAGGTAAGATGTACCCGTACAGAGGCACGATGTCAGTCCAGAAAGCCGGCAAACATCTGGAGAATGTCGGGAACAGCGCCTCCTGGAGCTTGCTGAATAAGCCTACGTTGGATCACAACACAGGATTGTATGATGGCGGCCTGTACTACTTGCAACAGAACGGGTTGACGGGAGACATTTGGGTTGGAGGGGGAAGCTCGAGCATTTTCGGCACACTCTCGTCTGATGACACGTCGGTGCCCGGTCAGGCTATGAAGGATCTGGCGAGGTTGCTTCCTAATTACTTTTTCAAGGGATGGCCCCAGGGAGAGGAACCCGAGATTCGGGGGATGTGGACCGGACTTCAATGTCATACATCGGATGGGTTACCCTTGATCGGAAAGATTCCAGGGTCCGCTTCAGGTCGTGAGAGTAGCGACGCCGAGTGGATTTGCGGAGGATACAATGGATACGGTATGGACAAGGCCTGGCTATCAGGCGAGGCACTTGTGAAGATGATTGCTGGCGAAGGTGTGCCTGAGTGGCTTCCGAAGGTATTTTTGATCACAGAGACCAGGTTTGAGCAAGCCTTGACCCTCGAGAAAGCACTTGATAGATGGATTTCGTTAGCAAGAGAGTCGAAATAGTAGGAAGTGTCAATTTGGTATATTTTAAACCAGACAGCGTGTTGGTTGTATATCGGGCGTCTATCCAAAGAGGGTACTCAGCCTTTTCTCTACGCAAACGTCCAACCAATACACATTCTTCTTCCCCGAATCTAGCGCTGCCCAAGTGTGATGCACCAATTCCGAGATGTTCATCACCTTTCGCAAAGGCAGGACATTACGGTACGCTGAAAGCCTTGCTGTAATGAAGTTTCGCGCGGTTGCTATTCTTATTGCGTCATTGCCATGAAATCGAGCTTCCTCGTTATCAGCGTCCATCGATAGGACTGCTTGAGTGCCAACGCGAAGTTCGCCGGCAACAGCTACGAAGATGAAAGGCTGAACACATCGAGTTCGAGACTCGAACGGAATGTCTCGGAGCAGATCAAGTGTATACATGGTCAAGCTCGTCAGCCATGCGTTTCTCTCTGTTTCTGTTGGCCTCTTGCAGGGTGGCGGAGCGTCGTAGAGGTCAACAGCATTCCATGGGTTATATCTGTCAGACAACAAGTCTGGAAAGACGCGATATAATTGCAGCAGTCCTGAACAGATATAGGCTTCGTCTAACTTGGACAGATGAGCTAGAGTAGTTCGCGGATCTTCCGGATCGACCATTTCGGAAATTTTGGGTCTCTTGTGAGCTAGCAGTCTCCGTTCGACTTGCCGAGCCTGGCGGATATCCTTTCTGAACGAGTCGAGAAGTTCTTCTGAGATAAACCCGCTTGAAGCTTTTTTCCTCCGGTGGTCATGAATCAGTCTTCCCACGCGGGCTAACAAGCTCATTGTATCGTCGGATATGCCTGTGAAAGGGTGGGGTAGATTGCCACACGGTTGTGGCGGGCCTATGAAGCCGGGTGAATCAACTGTAGTTGAGCAGGTTTCAATGAAAAATGATAGAAGCAGTTCCCAGTACTCGACTGCAGATTTAAAGAAACGGAATGTAACAGCCGTCTTGGAATCTGGCACCCAGTTTCGGAGTGTGTCTTGCGTGGCTGTGAACTTCTCCAATTCCAGGTCTGAAGGGTCATGCCAGCTTGCAGTGTGTCCCAGCAATAATCCAGACATGAGATTGATGTCTTGTTGATGCCAAACAGAAGATGCATACCCGTTATCGAAGACTTGAAGAGCAAGATTCCTCTCCCTTACAGCGACACAACCGAGTTCAGGGAAGCTTTTCATCAAGCAAGCCGCAGCCATACTCTGCATTGTATGGAAGAGCACTTCCGACGATTGCCAAGAGCTCTCCATCAGGATCCGCATATAGTTATGCTTGCTATCCCAAGTACAATAAAGTGGTATCACTTCTTGCATGAAATAGTCTGACAGAGCCGTGGGGAGGTTGGTCAGTCTGCGGGGCCAGCCTAGCGGATTCTGAGAAACGCTGTCTGAGCTTTGGAGAAGATCGTCAGGCTCTAGACACCGATGGCCGCTTGATGGATCTCCATCCGGGGCCTCCACAAACAGGTAATCTAGACTGCCTGTGTAGTTGAAGTCGGGAAACTCGAATGGGGATGACGACGTCGAAAACTGATGATCTGAGCTAACCACATGATTTACTGTTTCTTCAAAAGATAGCCATGATGGGTTCTGACATCCAAGAAAACCATCAGCAGGGCGTAGAACCGATTCCAAGTCTTTCAGGAGTGAAAGACTTAGATCAGCATGGCTATCACCATTCCTCTTGCTATCACTGACTCCATCGGGAGGCGAAACGGCTGATGGCTCGGTAGACGGGAGGCTCGAAGTATTTTTGGGTCTTTGATTGCTGTCATTCATTCCTTCCGGGCTTCTTGGCGGAGCTGATCTTTTCGCATGAAGTTGGTTAGCTGGGGCCCAGCGCACGTTCAACGGGTATCCAGGACAATTCGAGCCATATTCCTCGCAGCGGACGCAACCAGATTTTCGTTGGTCACATTTGATCTTCTCTAACAATTTAGCTGCATGAAACGTTGAGCTGTATTTATACGCTTACCCGTCTAGTTTTGCACAGTGTGCATCCAAATCTGCTCTTCTTGTGGGATATTCTGGTTGACATTTTCAACTCTTCACGTATGATGCTAATTGCAAGGCGGGGGAAGGAGATACCGAAGTGAGATAACAGACGGCAGATTCACCCGGGGCGGCTTATCATATCCGTGTTGGAGGCGTTCATGCTACATCCCTACCTCATTTGGCCAACCACCGTTAGTCAGCCGGGAACCCGAGAAGAGCTACGTTGGTTGACAGCCAAGAATCTATAGATGACAAGTGACAAGCCTGCTTGGAATTGGTGTCCTTTGAGCAAGATAAGTCATAACCATTCATTTTATTGAAGTCAAAACCCGCTGAAAAAGTGGACGTGTCAACCCGCTCAAATAATCTTGTCTCAGGGCAGTTTCCAAAGTCATTGCATTATTCTGAATAGGGGTCAGTGATCTCAACCAGATTCGCATTTCATGCTCAGAAAGAAGTTCCTAGGTTCGCCTTAGCATCAGTGCTCTTCATGGGGGCGAATGTTACTTCAATCATGCACTTTAATCCGTAAGGTGACAGATGCATGCTGACATCTTGGTGGCCTGATGCAATGATGCCCGATACGGTGGGGCATGTGGCCGCATGTTGTTGGCCAGCAACCCCTCGTAGGATCTCTCCCTCCCGAAAAGAATTCTCTCATCTGCATCTATGCTTGTCATTCTGTAAAAGACGATGATCTGAAAACACTTCTGTCATCTGCATTTGAGAACGACATACGACTCAATCATGCCTGAGGCGGCCTCGAATGGCGGCCACAAGCGGGCGCTACTGATCGGCTGTCCCGTTGCGGGACTCAGGGCCCCCGCCCAGGACTTGGAAACTATGAGAACAATACTCGAAGTTTACGGATTTTCCTGCGAGACGGTACAAAACGCCACTAGAGCTGACATTCTCAACCACTTGGAGGATATCATCGAGGCCACGAACGCAAGCGATGCTGTCGTGGTCTACTTCTCAGGCCATGGAGGCCTTGTAGAGCAGACAGGCGAGATCAACGCGAAGCGCCCAGTCCAGTTTCTCATCCCGTATGACTTTTCAGACACCACCGAAGGTGACTTCAGAGGAATTACAGACGTGGAGTTGTCACAATATCTGCGCCGAATCACCGACAAGACCGAAAATGTCACCCTGATACTGGACTGTTGTCATGCAGCCCGCATGGCCCGACTCAAGGCCACCGTCAAAAAGATTGACCCGCAAGTCTATGCTGTAGTTTTCTCACACATTCAAAAGATGCTGCGAGATGGCACGCTCAACGGAGGCGGTCATCATGAAAGAAATCCCCGACTTCTCACCATTGCAGCGTCAGCGCAGACTGAGAGCGCTTACGAACAGGCCTTCGGCGAGGAGCAGCGAAGTGTGCTCACAGAAGCTCTTGAGCGTGTGATGCTCCGACGGGATGCGTCTGGTAATCCGTCAATAAGTTGCTGGCGCAGCGTCATGCGCAGCGTTCGAGACCGCATCAAAGCCACCTGTCCTCAGCAATTTCCGCAAATTGAAGGAGACGACACGCGGTTCACCTTCAGCCTTGACAAAGCGAGTCTTAATGCCGCACTTCCGTTCTCATACACTCCGAAGGATGGTCCTGTCTTGGAGGGTGGGAGGCTTCACGGTGTTGTGGCGGGAGATACTTATGCCGTCTTGCCGGGGCTTGATGAGCGATTTGACTTGCGTCGCCAGATTACTGAGATCACCGTTGATGCTGTTGGGCCTGTGAAGTCGCGGGTCATCAAAGACAGCGACCTCATCAGTCGGGTTGAGAAACATGCTGGATCAGACATGAGAGCTTTTCCAAGAAAGAAGATTGGTAGATTGCCCGTCGCAGTTCAGCTTGGGGAGGCCTCAGAGCAGTTAAATGGCCGCATTGATGGATCGCCTTTTCTCTGCAAAGCTGAAGACAACGATCCGTCCCCATTCGCCACAATCGCGCGCGGGGATTCCGAAGTCGAGCTCTGGAGTCAGGAGACTGGTGAATCCTCTCTCCTGGGTTGCTGGCAGGCGACAGGGGAACATGTTGATGCCCGATGTGTCTCCGAGATTATTGACAGACTGGAGTCCATGGCGCGGTCGAGACACCTTCTCTCGCTTGCTCGGCAAGTCGAGCCGATTGCACTGTCACAACAAGTCGGTGTGCAGGTCGGCCGAGTCAGATGTGGCCAACCGGACACCAGCGGCCAAGAAGGAGGCCTCGTGGTCACCGAAGGGGACAGGATATTCATCAAACTTTGCAACAATGGCCGATCACCAGTTCTTGTAACGATTTTCGAAATTTGCGCTGGATCTGTTATGATGCTTACTTCCGCAACACCAAGCGGCCGAGAACTTCGTCCCAATGAGGAGTACATCTTTGGCGAGTTGGACATGATATTCGGAACCCTTGAAGGGTCTGAGGTTGATTGGCCCGAGAGGGTGCCAAAGAAATGCCCCAGGCTTTTCGAGAACATTGTTGTTGTGGTAACACCTAATCGACTCGACATGGATCTTCGGTGCCTTGAGACGGGCCCTGGAGCGGCCAAGGGTGCAGACAGGGGGGCTCAAGAACTCGATGCGCCAAGTCTCAGTGATTTCATCGATACTGTCGGCTCGAGCTCTACCAGAGATTTCAAAACTCGGCAGACTTATGTCGAATTTGGCATGCGTGTAGTCTCGTTCGAGCTGAACCACAACTGAAGCAGCTATTTCTCAATCATCATACATAGGCACAGACAGCTTGCACAAGTTATCTCTTCAAGCAGAAGTACTCATCGTGCACCTGAAGTTATAAGCACTTTCTTGTTGGTTTGATGGTTAATGTCGTGGTTTTGTGTAGTACTGCGTCAGCGATGGTGATCGGTCTCCTCCAAGGTTTTGATCCTTCGATCAGCTAACGTCGACCCGCACTTCAGTTTCACACCAATTAAGACCTACTATTCCTCGGGATTCTATCAAATGAGCTCACTTAACCATTGCGGTTGCAACAACGGCGACCTGCAGATGCAGCTTTACGTGGCAAAAATGCTCCGCCCGCTTCTCGGTTCCATCCCCCAGCTGTTGCCATTTGCCTCTTGCCACAGTACCATGCTAGTAAAATGAGACATTATGAGGCGATTGAAAATCTTGCTCTCGTACAAGATATTTCCGTGGCTCTCAAAAGTCACCCAAATTTGCACTTCGTACTTCATTCATTCTGGTGTTCGGTCGTCTTAGGGTCTTCAACATGGAAATACTGAAAGCTTTACCCGTACCACAGGAGAACATCTTTCTCCACACCACGGATCTACCCGTCGACGGCTGCGATCTTCCCGGCCCCGAGAACCAAGTTTCACAAGAAGACGCTTGGTGGGGGGGTGACATCCCGGCTTCCGTCCCAGGGGGCCCGGTTCCCAAGGTGAGAGAACACACCATCTTCTTCCGGGTTATGCGTCATGCGAACTGGCGAACCGCTGACAAGGCATCCAGGGGTCCTTCGGAGCCTTGTTAAGGAAACTGAAAGGAGTGCCGGCTTGCGTGTGGGTTGTGAACCAACATGATGAGGAGATCACTGTCGTTGTGTCCAAGCATCGTCCTTGCCGGATGCTCACGGGTTTTGAGGTCAATCTGTCAACAACAGGGGGAGGAATTGGTTTGAGCCAAACAGTACGTTTCCCAACTTCTGTCTAACCTTCTCTTCGGTATTGATATTGATAATTGGGCCAATAGACATACGTAGGCCCTGCTACAAAGAAGACTCTCCAACCCGAATCGAAAACCAAGTCGGAATCTAGAGCTACGTTTCCTCTGTGGACGAGCAAAGACGGCTTCGCTGTGATCACCGTATTCATAGGCGAGGAAAAAAGGTTGCATATTGAGAACGATCGAATACTGGCTGGCGCTACGGCATATGTTGGACATGGGCCGGATTTAAGGATTGAACCGTATGGGCAGGCGTCGGATTAGAAAAAGGGATTTTGCATTTGTATTTTGGACACAAGGCTAGCAACTTTGACATCGTTTTCAAGGACCAAAGTGAACGTAAGGAACCCACCATGACCTCGTGACTTCAGGCCTCCTTCTTCTGATGTCCCTTGTAAGACCGTTTCCGTCCAATTTGACAGGTGCCTCCATTTCCACTTCTTCCTCGAGTTGAGTTACCGTCTCTTGCTCCACATTTGACCGGCTTACTTTTGACCTATTGCGCATTTGATGGCTATGAACCCAGTCGTCGCGAAGATGCCGGATCGTGTGATGGAGACTTTGGCAAACGGAATCATCAGTCATGCCCTTTTCCCACAATCCCTCGTAAGTCATCTTCGCCGTATTCACACATAAGCTATCTTCAACTTCCCACAGTGTCCCAATTACATGTCGAAAGCCAGCAAGCTGAAAGGCGCCGGCCAAGTGAATGCTTTCGTCAACTGACTTATAATCAAGGATCTGGCTCGTTCCACATGCCGATAAGTATGCCAGAAATGGAGAACTTTCCCTCAGATTTATCTCCAAAAGGTTGCCAGCTGTCAGAGATTGATCCTCCCAGTCTTCCAGTAGCAAGCGACTCTGCAGAGGGTCGACGGAGTGCGTGTGGCCGTGTCCAGCAAAGTGGAACACCTTGCAACCACTATTTAACGCGGCAAGTACATCTCTGTATCTTCCAGCCGCGTGAGTGCAGCTGATTCCCCTGGACTTGCAGCCCAACTTGACAGCATCAATTTCGCTTGCAGCATACTGCAGCGTTTTCATGCCCGGCGTCTTCGTCATGGAAACGAGAACGAATTCTGAGGTAGAAGTGCCGTCGCCTTCCTCTCGTATTGCGCCCCCTGTGTCGTTCTGGATCACAGAGCTGTAGGTGGTTGGCTTTCTAGCGTGGAGAATGGCATGAACGGATGCACTGTAAGACGATATCACCCTGTCAAGCGCTGTCCGTTCTTGACCACCAAAGTGATCACCAGCAGCATGCAGAGGAAAGCCAACCAGCGGGCCGGTCAGAATCCACCAAATATGAGGCCAAGCTTTTGCCGCGTTCGGCGTGTCCGTAAAACTCAGATACTCGAGAACAGGTCCAACAATGACATTCCATAGCCAGATCAGAATGTAAGAATCCCTGACTTCACGAGCCTTTGACTCGATGATTTCGTAGGTAACGTGGTTCAATGGTAAAGTTCGTACGTGATCTTCTTCGACAATGATAGCATCGCACCTGAACCGACTAACATTGACAACAATAACGGGGCCTCTCGAACCTGCTCGGAGCATCTGGTCCTCAGACATGGTGCCGAGAAACCCTTCAAAACCGGGCTGTTGCTGTATTTTTGACAGCAGATTTTCCATTCGAGCAGTGGCAAGGTGGCGGGTGTCGGCCTCGATGGACGACTTGCCGGAATCACCATGGCTCGCATTGGATGAATCCATGAGATTACGGAGTTGGTCAAAAGCCTGGGCCAACTTTGGATGCGAGCGGTGCAGCTCCGATATGTCTGCGCGGATCTTCTGCAGGGAATCGGCGATGATGCCTCGGCCAGTCTCAAGCAGTTTGAGGGCCTCGGTCGGGCCTTCGCCAGTCTCTATGGCAATTGCAGCAGCATCTGAAGCTAGTCCGACAGCCTGAGTAAGCAGATACTGTTTATCTGCTGGACGCAACGAGAGCGGTGCTGACACCGGGACCAGTGAAATTATTTGCTTCGCTATGTTGAAGGCTAGCTGTGTATCGTTCAAGGCATCTGGAGTTCACAGGAATTGTCGGCCAGCATCGATACGCAAGCTGATCGGGGCTTGCTTATGGCCCAGAGTCGACACAAAGTTTGCCCTTGCATTCCGCAAGTCATCTAGCTCTCCGACTTTCGAGTATCTGTCCCAAAGCAAGCGTCCAAGATTGAATGTTGCTGCAGCTCGTCAGGATGATCATCGGGGCAGGTATTTACCGCTTTGTTGGCAGCGCTGATACCCAACTCAAGGTCATCCAAATGTTGCATTTCAAAATGTCGAAATTTGAGACCGTAGAACTTTCCCTGGTTGTTCAAGTACTTGACCCGATCGGGGCGGCCTTCAGGCGTGACTTGCACAGCTTTGTTGATGTGACTGATTGCCATGTTGAGATCTTCGACCTGTCCGCGCTTCGGATGGGTCTCTCCGGAGTATCGGTCGATCAGTCTGTTTCCAATGGTGCTCAAGATTGGTCCTTGGTTGGGGTTATTTTGTGGAACAAGTGTTGCCAAAGCTTCTTGGGATACAATGATAGCTCTGTCAAGATCGGTTATTTCTCTTTTGCGCTCATACCTATCACTCAGAGCATTTCCCAAGTTGTTCAAATAGTCTGCTCTGTCGGGATGAGTAGGAGGCACCGTTTTGACCGCCTCACCATGGAACTTGATAGCCTCTTCGAGATCATCTAGCGCCCCGGCATGAGAGTATCTGTCAGAAAGCCGGTTTCCAAGGTTGTTCAAATACTCCGCATGTCTAACAAAGTGGTCTTGCGTGCCCACTAGCGTGGCCTTCCTCGCGAATGCGATGGAGTCGTCCAAATGTGAGAATACATGAGAACGGGCATATTTGTCGCCCAGTAGACTTGCTAGCGCATTGAGACGAGTACCCTGAGCTGGGTGGCCTTCAAGCGTAGATTGAACGGCTTCTTTAGCAAGTTCAATAGCTTCTTTCAAGTCCTTTTCTTCTCCTGTTCGCTGATATCTATCGCCCAGTCGGATTGCTAGATTAAACAGCTGGTCGGTACGTTCCGGGGTCTCCGTATTCGTAGAAGTGGCTTCTGTTGCCTTCCTTGCTAGATCAACAGACTTATCGAGATCTTTGGTCTCACCAGTCCTCAAGTATCTGTCTCTCAGACGGAGTCCCAAGTTGTTCATCCTGATTGATAACCGAGGACCATGTTTTGTAGTAGCCTCCAAGGCCTCCTGGGCAAGTTGAGTAGACTCCGTCAAATCATCTTCGTCGCCATTGTGAGTGAATCTGTCACCGATGCGGTTGCTTAGATTGATGAGAAAGTAACCGCGGTCTGGATGATCCGATGGTGCAATCTTCATGGTTTCTCTGGCAGACCTGATGGCTTCGTCGAGATCCTCCCTCCGTCCATTTTCATAGTATTGTCGTCCGAGGTTCATGCTAAGACCATTCAGGTAGTCTGGGCGCATCGGGTGCTTCTCGTGAGTTGCCTTGACAGCGTTTCGGCTCATCAGAATTGCTTCACTCAGGTCCGATGCTGCACGCATCCCGATGGCAGAGTAGTGCTCGCCTAGTCGAGGCCCAAGTTATGGCAGCGTGCTGTCCAATATGGGCTAGATTCCGAAGTTTCAGCAAGAGCTTCTCGCGTGAATTGAATACATCCGCGTAGATCATCGGTAGTCCTGGTGTAGAAATACTTGTGGTCGAGATGGTGACTGGGAGTATCCAGGAGTTCTGGACGCTGTTCGTGGCCTTTCGGTGTAATGTTGATAGCCTTCTTTGCCGCAAGGATACAGTTTCCAGGTCAGACATCGCTCCGGTGCGCGAGTACTTCTTATCAAGAAGGTCGTGAAGGACGATGATGCGGGAAATCCTGTCGTTGATTCGGATGTGTGGCCCCGCGAATGCATCGTGAGCTTCTCTAGCAAATCCAATGGCTTCGTCTAATTCACCGGCGTCCAGAGTCTGAGAGTACCGCTTTCCGAGTAAAGCTCCGAGATTGCTCAATACACTTAGTCGCTCTGGTACGTCTCGGGGAATGATCTCAAGGGCCTTCCTCGCCGCATCTATAGCCAAATTCAGGTCAACCAGGGAATTTGAGAAGAGAAACTTCTCGCCAAAACGAAAGACAAGGTTCCTCAGAAACGTAGCCTGGTCGAGACTGTCGTTTGAGGTTACCTTGAGACCTTTCATGGCGATCTTAATTGCCTCATTTAGGTACTCCCTTTTGAGAGTGCTTTTGTACCGGTCTTCTAGCAGGCTCCCAAGGAGATTAAGACGGTTGGGCAACTCCAGACTTCCGTGCGGAGTCAAAGATAATACCTCTTGGGTTATTCGTGTTGCCTCATTTATGTCGTCCTCGGAAGCTGTCAGCGAGTATCTAGCTCCGAGACGTACAGCTAGGTTAAACCACCGATCAAGTCGGCTAGGATGGTCCGGAGGCACAGCTGCAGTAAATGCATCAATGGCATCTTTGGCCAAGCTAATAGCCTCTTCCAAATATTGGCGCATGTCCGTGTAGACGTATGTAGAGTATAGAACGTGCCCAAGGTTGTTCAGTCTATTCGATCTCTCACGGTGGTCAGCGGGTGTGGCTTCGACCGCCTCTCTGGCATGGCGAATCCCATCTTCCAAGTCTTTGGACTCGCCGGTATGTGGAAATCTTGCTGTAACTAGGAACGCAAGGTCACTCCGCCATCCAGCGCATGTAGCTTCATTGTGTATGCCCGGGGAAGCTTCTATAGCCTGGTCCGCGGCTTGGATCGCTTCCTGTAAGTCCGACAACCGGCCCAAGCGCTTGTATCTTGTATGAATCCGATGTGAGAATTCACTAAGTCTGCTGGCCTTATATTCGTCATCTTCCGGTGTCAACTCTGCAGCTTCTTTGGCAGCCTGAATGCTTTTGTCCAGATCCATGATTTCGTGAGTTTCGTGATACTTTTCCAGCCAGAGGGAGTGCAAAGTGGCGAGGAAGTCTGCCTGGTTCGTGATCAGGCCCTTCTCTGCCGTGACCTTCACCACAGCTTCAGAGACTCCAATAGCTTCCTCAAGATATTGCATGGACTTGGTTTGGCTCCATGCCCAGTCGAGCAGACCTCCGAACTTTGCCAAATTCCTCCATCGATTCTCGTCGTCTTCAGACACTCCCTGCAGCGCCTGTCTTGCGCGATCCACAACGTCGTCAATACTCTCCATCGGAAAGAGACTTTGGGTACGCAGAGCACTTGGTACTGTGGTACCAGACGAATCTTTGATGATTTAGCTTCAATAGTGCCGACAGAATTCAGGCGTGAAACATTGCGTGATGTGGGACGGGAGCCTTGCGGCTCACTTGCTTATCCACCCCATATCTCCCTCAATCGCCCGCAGAGCCATTCTTTCCAACGGAAGCGCCAGCCAATCTCCATGCAATTCGCGGGAATGCTTAGGAGCAAGTGACAAACCTATGTACCCAATCGCAGTGCTTGAAACACCCCTGCATATGCATCCTCAGAACCAGGCCTATTTTGTTCGACCGGCAAGCCTGTTCTATCTTGTGTGTTGGTCCTACGTATATGTGGAAGACCGTGAGAAAGGGGCTTTAAGGCCATGAGAAACGGTAGAGTGGACGATACAAACGCTCATTAGGACGGGGACGGGTGCCACAAGCTCCACATGCGACGTATTGCACCTGCACTGGCGGATCGTATCAGATGTGCACGCATGTCTGAGGAAATAATCGGCTAGGACTATTGAAAATCAAATGTAAAGATATCTTTCTGGTGAAACAAAGATCACTTCTGTTGGATTACCAAAGTCCGCGTCTTACATCTCCAACTCCGCCTTCCCGGCGGGATAAATCTAGCGGAGCGCCGCTTGCATTTGTAATCGTCATTCAGACTAATTGAATAGTCATTTTCCGCCATAACGTTATGCGACCAGCTTTTAGAGCTAGAGTCATCATAAATCTCATGATTTAGGTCGATATCGACAGAACCTTTTCAGATCCTGGTGAGGATAAAACCAGGCACACTGCATGACTTGATTGACGCGATCAACCCGCCCAAAAGAACGTACACCAGTCGCACACTAGCCACACTCTTCCTTCTACTGAATTCATTCAAAACATGGAACCAACAATTCTTGTCGTTGGCGCCACCGGTAACACTGGCCGCGGTGTCGTCGAGACTCTGTCAGAACTTCTCAAACCCAGCACCACCTTCTCTAACCACAGAGTCCTTGCTCTCACTCGATCGCTCAGCGGAACTGTCGCGCAGAAGTTCGCTCAGCTGCCGAATGTCGAAGTACTTGAAAAGAACTGGGTGGACATCACCGCGGATTGGCTGCGCCAACACAACGTTGTGAGGGCCTTCATTGCCGCTCACAACGAGCCCAACCAATTCTCCGAAGAGTCAACCTTCCACGTCGCTGCTCTCAACGCTGGTGTCGAATACGTGGTGCGAATCTCGACAACTGCCGCAAACGTACGGCCCGACTGCCCTGCGTACTACCCAAGAACCCACTGGGCCATTGAGTCCATGCTGAGCTCGCCGGAGTTTCAACGTCTTCAGTGGACCTCGCTGCAGCCGAACATCTTCTCGCCTCTCTACCTTTACCCTGCGGCGGAGCTGGTCAAATCATTTCGCCAGACGGGGAAGCCGCACACGCTGAAGTTGATTGCTTCTGAAGACGCTGCGGTCGGGATCATCGATCCTTTCGAGGTCGGATATCTAGCGGCACACCTTCTCACTGCCGAAGATGTGAAGCCTCACGACAGGGCTAAATACGTTCTGAACGGTCCCGAAGACGTCACCGGGCGTCAGATTGTGGGGATGGTTGAGAAGTCGCTTGGCACAAGGGTTGAGGATGTCCAATTCAAAGACGTGTCCTTTGTTGAAGACATGGCAGCTCAATCTCAGCAGTCAAAGAGCGTCATTCGGTCGATCAAGTACGCTTTAGAGACGGCTTGGGAAGGAAAATGCAGCACCTCCACAACAAGCCGAGAAATATTCGACATATTTACTCCGAAGGTTACGCTGGCCGAGTCTTACAAGAGGCTGCTGGAGGAGGAGGATTGATTGCCGCCATAGCAACTTTGTTGTCTTTTCAGTCTTCAGAAGAATTGGAGTTTTAATCTTCTCTTTCTTGCAGACTGTAAAATGATTATTTTACTTCAAGCCAAATACAGGCTGTGCTGGAGAGTGGAGGAGTTGGAGACAAGTTGACCAGGAAGCAACGTAGAACCAACTTGCGATAGATAGTCGGGCTTGCGAGGTTGTCGAGGTAGTATGTAGGACTCGTTTGTAACAGAAAATCAAAAGACGATTACTTGCATTGGCATTTACCCTTCTTGACTAGCCAAGTTCTCAACTAAAATTTCACCGCCTCCTGGTACTCACGCAGTTGGGTGAGCTGTTGAAAGCAATTGCTGCGATAAAACGATTGAATTTAAGATTCAGCCCCTGCATGCTTTACTTTCTTTTCCTTCTTGATTAAGGGATGTGACTTCCATCCACCCACTCATGAACCAACGACTGCTTGTTTTGCTGAGCTAGTCGTCTTGGCGGCCCCCAAAGCTGAAATTCAAAAGCCGTCATCTTCTCGGTTGATTTGGTCCGAGGCAGTGCAGGTCACGACCAAGGTCCCTTTGGCCGGCAACAACCATTTTATGGAATATCCGGGATATGACCGACCCGAGGGAGCGTCTGCCTTGAGAATTTTACGAAAGTCCAAATCCATGAATTACCCCTGAATCGATCGTTCGCTTAAATTCTGGAGATCGATATCACCACCTCTTTGTTCTCATTGTTTGCTGCGGGACACCCCTGCACATGCATCCTGCGGCGGATTCGCTTACCAGGACTTTATCAACTTGTTTCTTGCTTCTTCCTTCTAGGCAGAGAAAGCTAGCAAAGATGCGTGTGGATCCCTCAGCCGACACCTTCAATCTCACCAAAGTTCGCACTTTCTGCCTCCCAACCGACGATTGAAGCGTTCTCGTGGCGATGACGAGACTGCTCGTGATTGGACAGCATACGATGATTTGCGAGAACCGATGACTGTGGAGGTGCCGCGCCAGTCCCGAGTGGCGGCCAGCGGGCGTTCAATATCGGGATGGGAATATGCTATATAAGTCTAAACCTCGTCCTCATGCCAGTCGTTCGATCTCATAGGACCAGTCCAGCTGCAATCTCCCATCTTTTCAACTTTTCAACTTGTCAAACATGCGGTCTCTTTTCATTGCTACTTTCGCCACTCTGGCTGCTGCGCAGAGCACTCCGTGGCCTTCCTTCGGCAACTGGACTGAAACCGCTGGTGGCTACGACTTCACCCTGTCAGGTCCCGCAAAGCTTGGCACCAAGGCCGAGTTCGAGCTGGACAGATGTCACTACGTCTGGAACTTACTCAACGAGCGCACAAACTGCGACGAAAGGGCCCCGAGTGATGCCACCGAGTGCATGGACCAGCTCTTCCAGCGCAAGACTGAAATCGGCGACCAAGGATTCCTGGACATCTTCGAGAGAGAGATCATTGAAGCCAGGCAGTTCTGGTACGAGGTGAACGACAAGTCCGAGCTGGACAAGCCAGAGACCTGGAAGGCCGTCGAAGCGCGCGCGGTCGTGTCCTTACCCAACATCACTGCCTGGGCCTTCTCGGCGTGGTCGTCGTCGCCCAGAGCCGACGCGGCCAACAACAGGGAGAACGCGGAGCACTACTTCAAGCACTCGGACTTCACCACCGGCAGCGGCGTCTCGCGCATTCTCGAGGGGTGGGGCGGCACGATCACCAACTTCACGATTCCCAACTACAGCGCTGCGCTGTGTGCTGAGAGAGCCATGGTTCGGCCGCTGCCGGAGTTTTTGATCAAGGCGTGTGGCGACAAGAATCTGGTTGACGGCAAGGATACCAACTTTGGCGTGCTCAATATCGCGGCACGGGATGTTGATGGTGCGTCGTTTGGACAGCCTGGGAAGAAGGGCATCGACATTTACGCGTCCATTTGGTATGGCGGCGCGATTTCCGAGGAGCACCTTGAGGCGGAGCGGCAGCATGTGATCATTGAGATTGTAAACATGAGTCTGAAGGCGCAACAGGATATCGAGACTGGCACGTTCACGGTTCCTGCGCCACCGACATCGTAAGATATTGGACTGCACGAAATTTGAGGTTGGGGTCGGGGGATGTCGACTTTTCAGTTTGCGAGTCGAACATCAGCCGTTCATCCGCGAAATCCACTTCTGCATGTACATAGCTTTAACTAGACGGCCTCTTTGTGTAGATATGGAGGTCTTTTACGAGTGTACATAATAGGATTGTTTGCTTCGAAAACATAATGCCCTTGTACGTGTGATCGGGATTTTTGCCGCGGCACTTGGTCTCGGGGATGAGATCCTGCAGGAACGTCATTTGTTCTTTTACGTTCTTGGAGTTGACAATTTGACCTGGATGTTCGAGTGTCAGTTCTCATTCGTCAAGATGCGAAGGCGAGATGTCCAAATAAGGAAAGTTGCCGGGGCGGCCGGGGTGTCTGCCCTGGGGCCATTATCCTTGGCATTATAACTAGGGCGGAGCATGTAGAATATCCACGCAAGCTGACAGTGTTCGATCATGTCATCATCCAGGCATCAGTGCAAGTTTTAAATCATAGCCGATTTGAGGCTCTCATCACTTGTTAGCACTAGCCCTGAAAGGCTCATCTGGCGACTTTGTAGGCATCCAACACAGCAAGTCCACCTACAAGATTCACGATACTTCAACCTCGCGAGGCTTGAGCACCAACAAACGCAGTCTCTTTCTCTTGGACTCTCATTCCACGAAGCTGAGATTCTTAACAGCCTCGCGTTTTCTTGGACTTTTTAACACCACTATAACTTGAAATCCAGTGTATGTGCGACGTTGCCATTGGGCCGGGATTAAACCCCGCACTTGCCTTGACTCCGTGTAAGTGACGGCGCTGGACGGAACTATGTCCGCACGGGGGCTTTCGGCTTTTGCGCGGAATTACAGCCTGCCAAAAAGGGATGGGACTGAAGTCAATTATCTCATTGATTTGATGTCTCAAGTCAAACAGTCAATCGAGCGAGGATTAAATTATCATCAAAACATCGCCGCTCCTTGAAGGTGCATAACTTCATCATTATAGCAATTCCGACTCGTTTGAGACTCCAGATCCAACGAAGCTGAACCAAGACGAAATTTCAAGCGATTGCCGCCTTTTCAGGAAATGTCGACCAAATACAATAACTCGCTGGGAAGCATGTTCTGGTTATCGGAGGCTCAACCGGCATCGGCTTCGGCGTCGCAGAGGCCGTTCTCGCGGCCGGCGCCAGCGTGACCATCTCCTCCTCTTCGAGCAGCAAGCTTTCGACCGCCGTTGCAAGTCTCCAAGCCACGATGCCATCTTCCCCCTCGAGCCCGAAGATCCAGAGTTTCACAGCAGACCTCTCAGGACCTGATGCCGAAGAAAGGCTGGAAGCCGTGTTCAAACAAGCAGGGCCTCTAAACCATGTCGTCTTCACAGCCGCCAACTCGCTCTCTCTGATGATGCTACAAGATCTTACTCCCGACAAGATCCTGGCCGCATGCCAGATGTGCCTCGTCGCCCCTCTGATGGCAATCAAAGTCGCGTCGCGGTACCCTCCGAAGAGTAACGAGTCGACATTCATCATTACCAGCGGTAGCGCGGCACACAAGTCTACACCCGGCTGGTCTGTCGTGTCGTATTTTACGGCGGGCTCACAGGGGATGGTGAAGCAGCTGGCAGTGGAGCTGAAGCCTTTGAGGGTCAATGCTGTTGCTCCGGGCCATGTTGATACTGAGCTATGGGATCACATGAGTGCGGAGTAGAAGCAGGCAATGGTGAAAGGCGTTGAGGGAACGGTGCCGACGGGTCAGTTGGGAGGGTTGAGGATGTTGTTGAGGCGTATCTCTGGTTGCTGAAGGATCGAAATGCGACTGGTACCGTTGCTGCTACTGATGGTGGCTCTATGGTTGTCTAGGATACCGACCTTTCGACGCTATGACGCCATAGGGAAGATGCAACGTATTCTGAACGTCCATCTCGTTGCTGGCATGCAATTTATCGTACCAACAGTGTTTCCTTCAGATTGACAAGGTGACATGGACAAGACTGAGGAATTGAAGTATTGAATTCGCAACGCTCTGACTGGTGGCTTTTGATGTCAAAGTGGATCGCCGGCACATGTGTCAGCGCACGGCCCCTAAGCCACTGGGTACCGTCGGACCCCGGAGCAGAGATATCCCGTGGTTGCTGGGCCACCCCCCGGTCAGCTACTTTTCGCATGGGAAAATCATCGCCAGCTGCAGCAAGCATCGCATGTGAAGTCGACACCTCTCCCCAAGAGCTCAATCTCTTTGTGTATAACCCCCGCAGCGCCGAAGGCAACACAGCACCTCGACGAATACCCCCGACGCTCCGTTCAGGACTTTCCTTCCTTTCGTGCGCGTTCTAGTGTCGATTCCTTCCGCAACGAAACACACCGAATACATCCCGACACCGACTTCGAAGCTTCGAAGCTTGCCGCGTCCGACCCTTTCGAGGCAGCGACGCCTTTAATACCTCCGCCCACAATGGCGCCTCTCATCCTCCACAATGTTCCCGACGAGGAGCTCTACATCGGCGACGACGGCATAAAACGCCCTTACGCCATGGTCTTCCCTCAGTACGTCCCGACGCGACTTCAACCCTCGAAGGGTCCTACCGCGCAGTGACATCCAGCTAACAACTTCCTTCCGCGCAGACAAGATGGCCTCCCCGGTGCTAGAAACCGCCGCGGCGCCCCAGAGACAGGCTCCTTCGGCAAGTCCACACGCCGCTCCCGCTCCCGCACAGGGACACCCGCCCGCCGCGAGAACCCAACCGTCGCAGCCGCCGACAAGATCTTTGGCGACTGGATCTCTTCCCAAGCGAACGTTACCGCCCTCAACACAGCCGCCAACGCCGGCACTTCATCACAACAACCAGGTACAACCACCAGCTCCTCCGCCGCCGTCGGCACCCAACGCAAAACCTCAGGCCTCTCACAAGCGCCCCTCCTAGCCTCCGAAGAAGCACCTACGGCTGCCGCAACTGGCCCCCGCCTCGCCCGCCGCGAGCCCACCGAAGTCATCCTCCGCGGCTACCGCTCCCCCTCCCAGCAGTACGCCGCCCTCGCCCACTACGAACAGCTCGCCGGCCTCATCTGCGAAGACTACCCCCGCGAGCCCCCCCTCGAGCAGCGCCGCTACAAGTCAGAGCTCCGCGACCCGGCCTTCACCCGCCGCCGCGTCCTCACCCCCGAGGAGCGCGCGAAGGTCAACCGCGCCGACGGCGGCGAGCACTGGGTCAAGGTCACTTTCGAATCCGCAGACGCCGCGGACGCCGCGTGCTACGCCAGCCCCCAGCGCGTCAACGGCTACCTCGTCTACGCGGAGCCCTACAGCGGCTTCCCCCCGGTCCGCGACGAGCCCATCCCCGACGTCGACTCTCTCGTGCCCGCCCACGATGACCTGCACCGCTCCCAGTCCGTACCCGCGGGTGCTTTCGGGAGCCACGCCACGCCTCGCAAGCGTCTCCAGAAACCGAGCAACCCCTTCGCCGTCAACGCCCGCACCATGTCCGACCTCTCCCCGCCCACGTCCCTCACGTCCTCCAATACGATGGACACGGCGACAATGTCTAACATGTCCTCCGCCACCGTGACCATGACCGATGCCCCGCCCCTCGAGCCCTCCTCGTCCACGTCCCAGTCTACCGCAGTCCTGCAGATGACAACCGAAGACAGCCTCTACTGCCGCCGCATCCCCACCGCCCGACGCGCCCGGCTCCTGCCCGCCGAGCAGGCCCTGCTCCCGCAGCAGAGCTACGCCCAGCGCCTCGTCAACGCCGTGCCCTTCCTCAAGTGGTTCAGCGGCTCCATGATCGGCAACGAGGTCCCGCGCACCGACACGGGCGAGTTCGACTGGAACCGCGCCAGCCTGTACTGGAAGGTCATCTGCTGGCTCGACGCGACGTTTGGGCTGTTTGGCGGCGAGATCCTGACCGCCGACAAGGACGACTAGATGTTTTCCGTTTCTTGAGATCAGGAGCCTTTGGGAGGTTTTACGTCACGGGCAGGGGATGGGGGGAGAGGCGTTTGGAGGAAAAATTTCATTTAGCATCATGAATACCACGCACTACTGGTTCTCCTTTTTTACTACTACAACCATACTAGACCGACGGATGACAAGATTGGAGAAGCTGCATGCAGTCTTTTGGAGCAGGGAAAACAAAAAATACCGAACTCGCGCAGAGAGAGGAATAAAAGGGATCAAAGGTTCTGTATGACCAGTTGTAAGACTATGCCGCGCCGAGGAGGGGCGTCCCTCAATTTTTCTTCTTTCCATAGACGCCTCTGGATGGGTATAACAAGAAATAATTCATGACTTTGGGCCGCCGTCGAACACAAACAAACACACACAAAGACTCCTTCAAATCGAACCATCAGTCTGCTAGGCGTCTTCCTCATTCACACTCCACCGCCTCTCCCGCCGCCCCCTCTCCTCTGACCCCCTCTCCTCTGACCCCCTCTCTTCTGACCCCCCGTTGACCGACGACTCCACCACCGAGCTCCCGTCGTTGCTCTGCCCCCACGGCGTCTGCCCGTGCTGCTGCTCCTCGTCCTCCTCCTTCAGGATGCTGTACCGCCGCTGCTCCGCAACCCGCTCGTCGACCTGCGACGACTCCTCGCTCAGCCCGACGCCCAGGCTGTCGAACGTCACGTCCGTCGCGTGCCGCCGGATCGGCTGCGGCGAGAACGGCCGCACGCCCCGCGACCGGTTGAACGTCGTGTCTGAGAAGATGCTGTCCGCGTCGTTGTCGTCGCCGAGCCCGGGCGAGGCTACCGCCGCCCCGAGGCTCTGGTAACGGTCCGAGTCGCTCAGCAGGCTGTCGTCCCGCGCGTGGCCCCCGCCCTGCCGCGTGACGTCCGAGGCGGCGTCCGCGAGGATGCTCTTGGGCGGGAGGATGCTGAATAGCTTCGCCGTCTCCGCGGACCCGCCGCCGCTGATGCTCGCGTGGTGCAGGTCCGCCACCTCGTCGCTCGCAAACAGATCGGCGCCCTTCTCGAGTAAGTCGTCCAGCCCGCCGCCGCTCCACCCTTTCCGGGCGAGGCTCTCGAAGATGTCGACTTCCGCCCGGACGAGGCTGCACGAGGCCTCGAGGATGCGGCCGCTGGTGTCCTGGCTCTCGCGAAGCAGTGTGCGCGCGTGGTCGCCGTGCAGCGCGGTGAGGCCGTCGAGCTTGGTGGTCAGCTCGACGAGGTATGCGCGGAACTTGCCGACGTCGCGGCGGCGCTGCTTGTGCAGCTTGAGCCCGTCCTTCTCGAGCTTCTGGATCTCGCGGGAGCGCGCCTGGACCTCGCGCACGTAGACCTCCTCCTCGTCGTCGACGCGCTGGCGCCACTTGTCGAGCTCGTGGAGGAGGGGCACCTCGAAGTCGCGGTAGACGGTCTCGGAGAGGATCTGCTGGTGGTTCGCGACGAGGTGGTGGACGCCCGAGGCGGAGAGGAGGAGGTTGGCGGTGCAGGCGGTGCTGGGGCCTGCGCCGGGGAAGCTGGAGGAGAGGAGGGCGGCGCCGCCGTTGGGGTGGGTGCTCGCGGAGAGGGACTCGGCGCGGGCCTCCTTGAGGCGGGCGCAGGACTCGAGGGCGGAGCCGAAGGCGGAGGCGGCGGTGGAGAGGGTGGCGAGGGCCTGGCGGTAGGCCTTTGCGGTCTGGAGGAGGTCGGTGTAGGCGGTCTGGGACTGCTCGAGGTCGGCCTTTGTGAGGATGGCGTGGACGGGGCGCGGGGGCGGCGGGAGCGGGAGGTTGAAGGAGGAGAGGGGGTTCGCGGTGGAGGCGAGGGAGTAGACGGGGGAGCCCGGGATCGGGGGCAGCTGGGAGGGCGTCGGGGTCGCGGGGCGGGTGTCGGAGGAGCCGTTGGCGGCGGCGGGTGTAGGTGGTGAGGTTGCCATTTGTGTGAGGTTTCGGTTTTCGTTTGGAGGGGGTTCTTGCTGATCCCTCCGGAACGGCGGAGGGGGAAGATGTGGAATGGAGCTGCGTTGAGGCTATTTCGGGATGCTGTTTATTGTGGCAACCAACGCTGCGGGGGTTCGCACGCTGCGTTGCTGTGGCGGGAGCTCGGGGTTTTGTTTCGTTTGTTTGGCTAGCTTATCGCGCTGAGCCGGGCAGTCTCATCGTCAGGTCGTGATGTAGGACAGGGCGGACGAAGGAACGGGAACCTGTCAAAGGTTGAGGTCTCTAGGGAGGGGAGGAGGAGGGAGGGAAAGGGGAAAGAAATGTAAGGAATATTTTAGGCGCTCTAAAAAAAAAAGATGAAATCGCTGAAGATGGTTCTGCAAGATGCTGCAAAGCTTCCTTGGAAAGGCGATTGCGGTTGGCGCATGTGGGCCGCCGCCATGGTGCAGGTAACAGCACACACGCACAGCAGCCCAAAGGTACTTCACAAGTGTTGGAGGCCCTTGTGATTCGAGGGGGCAACTGCTGACCGCAAGGTGGAGTCCGGCCGTTACCCGGATAGGCCCTGTGCTTGCGTGCTGCGGCGCCACCTCGCGGACGGTGCAGCCGCGATAAGACCCCTGGCTGGAACCACTTTGGGCTTTCGTTAGCGTCATGGGCCGTTTGAACGGTGTGTCTTGCAGGACGTGGACTTAGGTAAGCCGGTGGTCGTTGGGGATTTTTGGAGAAGACAACTGATCCTGTTTGTTGTGATTGGATTTCTGAGACAAGAACAAGTGCGTGTGATGTCGAGAGACTGAAGGCGGCTGTTAGCTTGAATCCGGAGTAAATTGAAAAACTACTGGTATTCCCG